TAATTTACTTTGGTAAAAGATCCTTACGCAATCAAATTGTTCAAGCCTATTATAAGAAGAGATTTCAAATTGCTTCACAAGATGTCATAATTTTTAAGGAGATCCCATCTAAAATTTTAAGAAGAAGAAAGGAGTTTGCTTTTCTAGTAAATGAACTTAAAAAGAGAAAAATTCTATTCAGATGGGATATTCCGACTGGAATGGTGGTGACCTACCTGGGGACATGTCATAGACTTAATACTGTTTCTCAAGCAAAAGATTTTTATACTTCGGTCCTGGGGGTATGTGCATCGCCATCTATTAGGTCTCAACAAGTCCAGATTGAGGAGCAGAAGACAACTTGTGTAGCACATACCTCCAAAGAAAAGCAGCAACAGAAGAAGGTTAAGGAAGTTTCATATTCAGCGGTCTCTGAATCTCTGGGAGATGTTGGACTTACAAAGTCTTTGGAGCAATCTTCAAGGGTAGCTCTGGGAGAAGTTAGACCTACAAAGTCTTTGGAGCCATCTTCAAGGGTGGAATTGCTGCCTGAAATCGAAATTGGGAAATTTCAGCTTGAGGGGCACCAACAAGAGAGGAACGGGCAGAGGATAACTTGTACAACTTACAACTGTGAAGATCAACACAAGGAGGAATTTACTGAGGAAGTTTTACAGGTATCGGTCCCTGAGACTTGTGCAACATATAAATGTAAAGAAAAAGTAACATATAAATGTAAAGAGAAAGACCAACAGAAGAAGGAGGTTGAGGAAGTTTCACAGGTACTGATTCCTGAGCTGGTGGGTCAACCAGGACTTACAAACTCTTTGGAGCGATCTTCAAGGGCAGAATTCCACGCATTTTTTTCGATGCTTGCGGGCAAGAGAGACCCATATGGATTGTGCTTATAGTAGATGCAACTGGCTATTAGACAGAAGATTATGGATATTGAATGAAAATTTTAGATAAGAAGTTTGTGTTTATAGTGGGTGCAACTGGTTATTGGACAGAAAATTATGGACATTGAATGAGAACTTTAGACAAGTTTACTATTGAGATTGTGGGAGAAGTAAAACTTATATCGTTTTTGGAAAATGTCTTATGTAATGTCTAAATATGTGTTTTGGGATAATAATATATTTCAGTTTTAAGTTTTAAACCTTTAATGATAATATTGTTTAAAACTGTGTTTTGAAGGGATTATAATTTGTTTATTTCAGTGAGGGGATTCTAATAAATTTGTGTTTCGAAGGGAGTATAATTTGTTTAAGTTTCAAGTAATGCTTAAATTTTGTTTTTAAATATTATTATTAATATTTCTAAGAGAAAATAATTTGCTTAATTAAATGTCTAGATTTGTTTAGGAAAGAAAGTAATGCTTAAATCTGTGTTTTTGGAGAAAGTTTATATAGAATGATGATTGTATTTATATTTGTTTAGGATTTAAAAGTGTTTCAAGCTTTTAAATATTATTATTAATATTTTTAAGAGAAAATAATTTGTTTAACTAAATGTGTCTAGATTTGTTTAGGATTTTTAAGTTTTTTTTTTTTTTTTTTGGATAGGTGAGAAGATGATGAAGATTGAAGGAAATATTTATTTACTTTAAGTTTTCTAAGAGTATTTAGTTTTAATGGTACAACAAAGGTTTATATGTTTATCTTTTTGTATTAGGATAAAGAAAGAGGGAGAAATTAGATTTTACATTATAGCTATAGATATTCAAAGAAAGTAATTTTTAAATTTGCGTTTTTGGAGGGAGTTTATATAGAATGATGATTGTATTTAAATTTGTTTAGGTTTTAAAAGTGTTTTAAGTTTTTTTCTCAATTAAGCCTGTACTGAGCTCTGGGAAGTCTAGGGGAGGGTTTGGGAGGTTGGGGAGGAGGGGGGTGAGGTAGGGTTGGGGGGGGGTATGGGAAGGGGATTTGTTTTTGTAAAAAATTTAAAAATTTTCAATAAAAAAAAAAAAATTAAAAATAAAAAATAAAGAAGAGACTGGACAGCCATTTGTCCGAAATGGTGTAGGGTTTCCTGCCGAGCAGGGGGTTGGACTAGATGACCTCCAAGGTCCCTTCCAACTTTACTACTATTATTATTATTATCGATCATCGCACAGTCAGCCAGATGTTCAGACTGGATTTGGCATTTTGTCTACCTATCGAGTCCTTACCCAGGACCTGGGATAGGCAGATGTGGATGTTTGATGGTATTACAGATATCGTCGCAGGATGGAAGCAGTTCCTAATAAGGCTGCCTTTTGCAATTGACTAATAGCGAATTTGTCAATGCCAATGGTGTTCAAGTGGTGCTCCAGTTGTTTTGGGATTGCACCCAAGGAGCCTATGACTATTGGTACTACCCTTGCTTGCTTTTGCCACAGTCTTTCTATTTCTATTTGTAGGTCTTTGTATTTTGTTATCTTCTCCAGTTCTTTCTCTTCTATTCTGCTGTCTCCAGGCACTGCCACGTCCACTATCCAGACTTTTTTGTCTTTCTTATCGACAATTGTTAAGTCTGGGGTGTTATGTTGCAGGTGCTTGTCTGTTTGAATTCTGAAGTCCCAGAGCAGTTTAATTTTATCATTTTCTATGACTTTCTCTATTTTATGATCCCACCAGTTTTTGCTTACAGGCAAATGATATTTTTTGCAGATCTTCCAATGCACCATTGTTGCTACTTTGTCATGCCGCTGCTTGTAATCAGTTTGTGCAATCTTCTTGCAACAGCTTACCAAGTGGTCCACTGTTTCTTCAGCTTCTTTGCATAGGCGGCACTTACTGTCTGTTGCTGTCTTCTCAATTTTGACTTTGTATGCATTTGTCCTTAAGGCTTGGTCTTGTGCAGCCAGAATTAGTCCCTCGGTCTCTTTCTTCAATTTTCCTGCTCTTAGCCATTGCCAGGTTTTATTATTATCTGCTTTCCCAGCTATTTTTTTCATGTATTGGCCATGTAGTGCTTTGTCTTCCCATGCCTCTATTCTGTTCTTCATTTGGTCTTTCTTGTAGGCCAGTTTGGTCTCTCCAGTAGTTAGTAAGCCTTCCTGATATACTAATTTCAGTGCATCTTCATCATTGTTCTTCAGATATTCTTCCAAAGCCATTTTTTCTTCTTCAACCATCTGATGTACTTGTAGCATTCCACGCCCACCTATTTGCCTTGGTAGATAAAGTCTATCAATGTCACTGCGTGGATGAAGGGCATGATTCATTGTCATTATTTTTCTGGTCTGCCTATCCATTGCTTTTAGTTCTGCTTGAGTCCAGTCCACTATTCCAGCTGTGTACCTAATGACTGGGATTGCCCAGGTGTTGATTGCCTTTATGGTATTTCCTCCATTGAGTTTGGATTTTAAGATCTTCTTCACTCTCTTGATGTATTCACCTCTAATCTTTTTCTTGACTTCAGTGTGCTTGATGTTGTCAGCTTGAAGGATATTATTATTATTATTATTATTATTATTATTATTATTATTATTATTATTATTATTATTATTATAGGTAAATTAATGCCGCTTACGCAAACTTACTCCTTGTGTTAATTCAATGACCAGTTAGTTCAGCATCATTTATTATATACAGGCATAAGAAAAATAACTTATTATAAATATTGCTTCTGTCCTGACTTTTGCAATAAAATTCATTTGCTGTTTATGCACAACCATTCAGATTGTTTAAAGCAGGGGTAGGCAACTTTGGCTCTTTTATGACTCGTAGATTTCAACTCCCAGAATTCCTGAGCCAGCACAACTGGCTGTCCACGAGTCATAAAAGAGCCAAGGTTGCCTACCCCTGCTTTAAAGAGTACTTAATTGTTGGTCAGTATTGAATGATTTGGATTTGGAGTTCATTAATTAAAGACTTTGAGCTTGTTTTCAATATCAGAGTTGGTTTTTAAGCTGATTCACTTAGACTGATTCCCTGCACTGACTGTCCCTTCAACATATGATGATTCCCCAGTTATATCATTATGCTTATTTTCTTTACAGTTCATGAGTCACTTACAGGTGCAGAGATTTCTGCCTTCCACCCATGTCTGTATAAGGGTGCGAGCAAATCTGTTCTTGTTTTCATGAGAAATGAGTTAAAAGCACCTAATTTGGGGAAAGAGTTCCTTTGTTTGCTTTCAACTCAGTTCAACCTCTTATTCATTCTCAAATATATGTACAAGTCGGAGGTTGATAGAATAGGAATAGAATAGAATAGAATAGAATAGAATAGAATAGAATAGAATGTCTTTATTGTCATTGTGTAACTCACAATGAAATTAAGTGTTGTCACAGTACACACTATACACAAGTAAAAACCACAAATAACAACATACATTATATACACACATCCTTCACATTCTATTCACCATTGCGCTGCCCCTAATATTGCACTTCAATGTTGCACTATACAGTGATATTTAATATGGTTACAGCTCTGGGATAAAAACTATTTTTCAGCCTATTTGTTTTTGTTTTTATTATCCTGTACCGTCTGCCAGATGGTAATAGTTCAAAAAAAGAATAGTACCTGATCCTGTGCGTAAACCCTCCAGAAGACAAACCAAATACTTTCAGATTTTTTTAATCTCTAGTGATCTTATTAAAGTTTAAACTGAATTTATAGAACTTTTAAATTTAGTTTCTTCATAAACATTTGGATAAGGTATTTGATTCTATGTTCTGCTATGAATACTTACGTTTCAGAGAATGAAAGCATATTGTATGATATTTCCATTAATGCTAAAAGAGGAAATAGTACATTTTTATGAACATAATCAAACACAACAGATTATCTTTCTACCCTTTTAAGATAAAGAATTCAGAATTCTGTATTAACATTTTGTTATGGCTGTGATGTTAGAAAAGGTTATATCATTAAGCAATGAGGGCGTGGACTATAATGAAACTCTTATTTTCATGGTTTCTTTATTTTATCTTGTTTCTCAATTATAAGCATAGATTTTTGTCTTGGGGAAAATTTAACCTTATTTAGAAAAGGGATGTTTATGTTATATTGTGTCTAACCCCATAGGTGAAAAAACTTCAGATGATGTTGAGGCAGGCCAACGATCAGCTAGAAAAAGCAATACAAGAGAAACAGGAGCTGGAGGAATTTATGAAACAAAGTAGTGAAGACTCAGTAAATCAGGTAAAGAAAATCTTACAGAAAACTAAAAATTCTTTAAGTGAGAATGACCATTGCATAGGGCATATATTTAAACTGGTTGATTCTTTTTACACAAATTGTATACTGTAGAATATACTGAAGATGTTTTAAGAGTAAAGTTAACAGGATCAAATATGATTAGTATGAGGTTGTTAGTATAGATTGGGAATTCAAAAAACATCCCAGAAGGCAGCAGTAGCAAACCAATTCTCTATTGTTGATTTTTTAAAAATCTGCAGACAGTCCTCAAGTTACAATTGGTTGTTTAACAACTGTTCAAAGTTACAATGGCCTCAGAAAAGGTGCTTTACTTTTGGCCATCATAAAATGTTGCTCCTCCTCACAGTCACATGACTGCATTTCTGGTGCTTGACCAACAGCATGCATTTACATCAATTACCAAGTGCCCCGTGATCATGTGATCGCCATTTGCAGTCTTCTCCACCAGCTTTTCCAGAGGGTCATTGGGGAAGCTGGCAGGAAAGGTTCAAGTGGAGGAGATAAAGTTGAAATTCTTTGTCTGGCTGCAGAAATGGAGTTGAAATCCTGAAGAGTTCAGCTCCATTCTGGAGCCCCATAGAGGAGAAAGGAAACCCTTCAGCAGATTCACTTCATGACCCCAAAGATTGCTTTACTGGTGCAATTGGGAGTGCCAGGATTATGGGCTTTGCTCAGTGACCGAGATTGCAGTTCCAACTACCTGTACATGGTTGTATTTGGGAAATCACCAGAGGCAGAGCTCAACTTGGAGACTACCTTTAAATATTTTGGAGCATTTGCCCCATTGTTACTGAGATTTCAGCATGGAATTCTATAGAAAAAAAATGCAAATAAGCCTGCTAAAAAGTTAGGAAAATGTTTGCATACCAGTTATATATGCCATTTGGTACTCGTGATGTGTGTGTATAATTTATTCATATCCCCCCCCCCTCTTTTTTTGACAGATCTCATCACTTACTGCTAGAGTTCAGGAATCTGATGCCTTACTTAGTGAATTACAGCAGGCATTTTGTCAAGCTAAAAGAAATGTCCAAGATCAAATGGTAAACAATGAAGAATTATTTTAATACACATATTTGAATATATTTGTTGTTTATTCTGTATCTATAATATTGTTATATAATAACAATATGAACATTATTCCATTTATCTGCACTGTAGAATGAAGTAAGTTTTTTCTACAGACAAGTATCACTCTTGGGTGCTGTCCATTTCTAGCTGAGTATGGAGGACAGTTTAGGATATTTTAGTTGGTTTTGCTCTCAAAAGCCTGCACAGAATGTATCTGTTTGTTTCTTGTCCTTATTTGAAGAGCAAAACCAACTTTTATATGCTCTATGAAAAGCACAAATTGTTTCATAGGAATAGCCAGTGAACCAACAAGGGGCACAGAGCTTCTGGGAAGGGGATCTTTCAGTATCTTCTCTTCAATACATCTGCAACAAGTTAGACTACCGTAACAGTCTTCTGTGAGTTAAGATCTGCAGTTGGAATTACCTTATGCTGTTTATGAAGGGGAAATTTGGAAACCTGCCCTAACCCAGTTTGGCACTCTGCATCAATTAGATATTGTTTAAGGAACATACTGGTCTGCTTGACAGTAAATAGGGGAGGAGAACCCAGATGATGTTGGGTTCGGTTGTTTTCTGGTGATGTCTGTCCTTCAGTGTTGGGCAACTTGGGTCCCAATAACATCTATAGGGACGTCAACACAGGCAAGATAACAGTATTGTGTAAAATTGTGGCATGTGTATATAAGTGGCAGTCACAACGTACACGCTTACAATGCTGTGGCTACCATGCTGCCTGTTTTCATATATACATTGTAGCTGCTCTTTGGCCTAACTTACTCACAAGGTTATTGTGGGAGGAATAGGAGGCAGAAACATTATATACACCACCTTGAATTATACAAAATGAGTGATATACCAGTCTAATAAATGAATAAATTCAAGCATCAAAACTGCTTATTTTTGTTCCTGCTTGTACACTAAGATAGTATTTTTGATGACGGCCATGGTTTTGGTTTTATGGTCACTCGGATGATCCTTCTTACAATATTGAACAAGGACCACCTGTACTTTTTGAAGCTGGGACCTAGAGAGGATTGCTGTATTGCCTAGATATCAGAAAACAGATGTGTGTTTCTTTTCCAGCTGGTCTAAATGGTGAAAGACCAGTTTGTCTTAACAGGCCAGAATGACATTTAGGAAAAAGCTGAACAGAAAGGTATACAGTTGATTGGAATGATACAGATAAGAGACCTTGGGGCCATGCCATTATGGAGGCAAGCCCAGAAATATAGTCAGGAAGATGGATTGGTACAAAAGTTAGCTCTGAATTTCAGTTGGATGGGTTTCCTATAAACTCCTCATGGTCTTATTAGCTGTGCTGCCTATGAAATAGCAGCTTAATAGTGGTAAGAATAAGCTCTAGAAGACACCTTGGTCTTCTTCCTTATGAGTTATCTATTGTTCTGCAGTATTTTGGAGGAAATCATGTGCCCTTGGAGGGGGGGGTTTCTATATTTTTATTTATGCAGCCAATTCTACAGTTATTCTTTTTCCTAGAACTGTACACTCAAACTTCTTTCACTTAATGTAGATTCCTGTGTTTGTTCTTTGTTTTTCTTTAAAGTTAGGTAATTATGAATTATTATAGAATTGTATCTGCTGTGGCTGACTTACTTCTAGAATGTTAAAATTGCTAAGGCCTTGCTACCACAACTGAACCCAGTTAACTATTAATGTTTCCAACAAATCACAGTTGAAATAAGTGGACCAAATCATTTGTAAATGCAGAATCTTTACTTAGTTCAGGGGTGTCAAACTTGATCGCATCACATGGCATATCCTGATGTATCATGATTTTTTTAAAATAACAACAACAACAACAACAACAACAACAATAATAATAATAATAATAATAAAAACTCAGGACATGGCTATCAAACATCAAAAACATCTACCAGACTATCCCATCTCCTTTACATGGATGATCTGAAGCTGTATGGAAAAACATCATCTGAAATAGAATCGCTGCTCAACACTGTCCGTATATATAGCCAAGATATTGTAATGGAGTTTGGCTTGGACAAATGTGCCACACTTACTATCAAACAAGGAAAAATAGTGAAAACTGAAGGAATCAAGATGCCCCACAAAAATAACATTAAGAGTCTGGATGAGGAAGAGTACTACAAATACTTGGGTATCCTTCAAGCTGACAACATCAAGCACACTGAAGTCAAGAAAAAGATTAGAGGTGAATACATCAAGAGAGTGAAGAAGATCTTAAAGTCCAAACTCAATGGAGGAAATACCATAAAGGCAATCAACACCTGGGCAATCCCAGTCATTAGGTACACAGCTGGAATAGTGGACTGGACTCAAGCAGAACTAAAAGCAATGGATAGGAAGACCAGAAAAATAATGACAATGAATCATGCCCTTCATCCACGCAGTGACATTAACAGACTTTATCTACCAAGGCAAATAGGTGGGCGTGGAATGCTACAAGTACATCAGATGGTTGAAGAAGAAAAAATGGCTTTGGAAGAATATCTGAAGAACAATGATGAAGATGCACTGAAATTAGTATATCAGGAAGGCTTACTGACTACTGGAGAGACCAAACTGGCCTACAAGAAAGACCAAATGAAGAACAGAATAGAGGCATGGGAAGACAAAGCACTACATGGCCAATACATTAAAAAATAGCTGGGAAAGCAGATAATAATAAAACCTGGCAATGGCTAAGAGCAGGAAAATTGAAGAAAGAGACCGAGGGACTAATTCTGGCTGCACAAGACCAAGCCTTAAGGACAAATGCATATACAGTCAAAATTGAGAAGAAAGCAACAGACAGTAAGTGCCGCCTATGCAAAGAAGCTGAAGAAACAGTGGACCACTTGGTAAGCTGTTGCAAGAAGATTGCACAGACTGATTACAAGCAGCGGCATGACAAAGTAGCAACAATGGTGCATTGGAAGATCTGCAAAAAATATCATTTGCCTGTAAGCAAAAACTGGTGGGATCATAAAATAGAGAAAGTCATAGAAAATGATAAAATTAAACTGCTCTGGGACTTCAGAATTCAAACAGACAAGCACCTGCAACATAACACCCCAGACTTAACAATTGTCGATAAGAAAGACAAAAAAGTCTGGATAGTGGACGTGGCAGTGCCTGGAGACAGCAGAATAGAAGAGAAAGAACTGGAGAAGATAACAAAATACAAAGACCTACAAATAGAAATAGAAAGACTGTGGCAAAAGCAAGCAAGGGTACTACCAATAGTAATAGGCTCCTTGGGTGCAATCCCAAAACAACTGGAGCACCACTTGAACACCATTGGCACTGACAAATTTGCTATTAGTCAATTGCAAAAGGCAGCCTTACTAGGAACTGCTTCCATCCTGCGACGATATCTGTAACACCATCAAACATCCACATCTGCCTATCCCAGGTCCTGGGTAAGGACTCGATAGGTAGACAAAATGCCAAATCCAGTCTGAACATCTGGCTGATTGTGCGATGATCCATCATCCATCATCATCATCATCATAATAATAATAATAATAAAAAAGTTGGAAGGGACCTTGGAGGTCATCTAGTCTGACCCCCTGCTCAGGCAGGAAACCCTATACCATTTTAGACAAATGGCTGTCCAGTCTCTTCTTTAAAAACTTCCAGTGTTGGAGCATTCACAGCTTCTGGAGGCAGGTTGTTCCACTGGTTAATAGTTCTCACTGTCAGGAAGTTTCTCCTTAGTTCTAGGTTGCTTCTCTCCTTGATTAGTTTCCATCCGTTGCTTCTTGTCCTGCCTTCAGGTGCTTTGGAAAATAGCTTAACTCCCTCTTCTTTATGGCAGCCCCTGAGATATTGGAACACTGCTGTCATGTCCCCCCTTGTCCTTCTCTTCGTTAAACTAGACATACCCAATTCTAGCAACCTTTCTTATAAGTTTTAGCCTCCAGTCCAGACCTTTGTGGAGCCGGGGTGGGCATGGCCTGCATGTGACACATCTGGCCCATGGGCCACCAGTTTTAACACCTCTGACTTAGTTTCTTTAGGAAGTACTTACTATCCCATAAGTCATTGCACTAGGAAAGTACTGACAAGACTTTCCCATTGGCAAGGGAACCAGCAATAGACTGGTCAACACCAGTCAGTGTTTGGGAAGTGATTTCTGAAAATCAAAAATTTAATCTTTTAATTGGTTCTCCTCTCCAGCTCTTTCTCTTCAAGGATATTTCCTTAATTGGGTTTATGTGTTTTCACAGAATACTTATGCTTGTTTTGTGTTGAATAGCTTTACAGACTGGCTGTATCTTTTAACTGATCCCTTTTTTCAGTGTTTTAATTGAAAACGTCACAGCTCACCTATTTAATTAAGTTGTGGGAACAGGGAGATAAAGTCATAGTGAGCAAGGCTATTCTTCATATTGGTATTTTTTTTCCTGTTTTGTCTGCTACCTGCTTCTACCATGTTAATGAAATGTGAGTTAATCTGAAGAGCTGATTTTTGAGGATTTAATTCTTTCTTTGTTTGCTGGAGGCTGTCCTGATGCAGTCACGAGAGCTTGTTTCAGAGGAATTGGAGAGGCTCCAGAAAGACAACGAAAGCCTTCAAGGGAAACATTGTCTGCATGTGTCTTTACAACAAGCTGAGGATTTTATCCTTCCAGAAACTGGAGAGGTAGGATACCTCTTGGTTAATTTTAAATAGATCCATTTAGGGCAGGGGTTCTCAACCTTGGCAACTTTAAGACGTGTGGACTTCAACTCCCAGAATTCCTCAGCCAGCAAAGCTGGCTGAGGAATTCTGGGAGTTGAAGTCCACAAATCTTAAAGTTGTCAAAGTTGAGAACCCCTGATTTAGGGCATAATATTGGGTAAGACATTCTTGCAACTAAAGTTTAGGAATAATAGCTATCACTTTTTTAAGATTAGAAAAGTAGAAACTTGTTTCTAGTAATGTATGTGAGTAGATCCACATGTTGATTGTAATATTTAACTAAACTGAAATCTTAAATTAGTAAAAACTGCAACCCTATCTATGGTTATGTTTTAGTGTTTATCTGCCTTCATCTAGATAACTTTCAGTATATCTTGAACAATCACTGGTATTTTCACTCTAAAGCAGCCTACACCATATTTTGTTATCTTAATTTTTTGTTTCATAAGGAGAAAAGAGTGTTTCTTAGTTATAAAGTGTATGATTTGTAGCCACATAAGTTCATCCCATTTCTGCTTGGAAGCATTTGACATCAAGGAAAATAGCTTATTATGCAATTGTGGTAATACTGTATGTTTTCAAACAACACTGTAAGCTGGACTCTGAAAACAGTTAAGAGAGAATTCTCTAGACTTCTAATTACTATATTATAAAGCATTCAAGACTATTTCCCCTTTTGTATCTTTCCCTCCTTTTGTCCTTTTCAAAATCAATTTTAAGTCAAAGTCCCTTACAGTTTATTACACCATAGTATATACATGCAGGAAGACAGTTGTTTGACCTATCTAAGCCTTTGTTTCAGGAACTCCGCGAACTGGTCCTCAAGTATCGTGAAGACATTATTAGTGTACGAACTGCGGCCGATCATCTGGAAGAAAAACTGAAGGCAGAAATTTTGTTTTTAAAAGAACAGATTCAAGCTGAACAATGTTTAAAAGAGAACATAGAAGAGACTCTGCAGCTAGAAATAGAGAATTGCAAAGAGGAAATAGGTGAGACTAGGGCTGTCTTTATATTTAAGCACCTTTCAGGGAATTCCATTTTGCCTTCCTAATTTACTAGTCCTTCCTACTTAATATGAACTGAATATGAGTCCATAAATAAAATTAAAATCTTTCCCCATCTTTTAACAGCTGCTGCATCCAGTCTAAAAACAGAATTGGAGCAAATAAGAGTTGATAAAGGGCAGGTAACCTATCTAAAGACTTTGGGAAATGTTCTGGGTGCCATGGCAAATACCTTCCACCCCTTGATGTTCTTTTTTTCTCCCCTGTATTCTTTGGATTACATGGATCTCCTTTCAAAGGTCTTCGTGTCTGTCTCAAAGATAGAGTAAATCCTTATCTAGTAGTGCAGTTACTTCAAATTCTTGAATGTGGAGAAAATGCTGTATATCTTCCTAGTTATATTGTTTTTTTCTGGGCATAAAGAAGGAATGGTAACGGAGGGGCTACAAGGAAGGAAATAAGTTTTGAAAGCATTTAGATGAGACCATTTAGATAGTGGTCCTTCATGCTTGTCCTTCTCTTTTCATGATAAAGTATCTGCCTAAAATTGAGGCTCATATTCAAGGCCACAAGCTACTTCGAACAAATGTTAGTAAGAAACATGTCAAAGGACTAATCAATGCTATTCTCTTTATGTACACCTGGCATAAAACTGCTCTGTATATATCCTAACATCACACTCTCAAAACAAGTAGTCAGAAAACAGATGGTGTCAGGAA